GATATACGATTCATTTCAAATTATACAATTCTCCTTTTTATTCGGCTAAAGAAAATTAACGGAAGAAATTAAAAGAATCCATGAATATCTGTAATTTTCCATCTTCGAAGCGAAATTTTAGATTCTTGAAAGTTCCTCTATAGAAATCAACTATTGAGGCATTGAAAATGTTCGGAGTGCAAAGATTTAACCCTTTCAATTTTCAAAGGGTTAAACCTTTGCACTCGAGAGGTGACTCTCGCTCACCACTTGACATCATACAGTAAAACTGTACAATTTGATATTTAATATTATACTACGTATAATAAATCAATTAGAGAAATATTGAAATAAAATAACTTTGTTCCTCGATGAACGTGTGATTTCTTCAAGTTAGTTTCACAAAATATCGTCCCTATCTCATCAGAAAATGTTAAAGTATATCTAGTGAAAGACTTCCGAGTGCAAAGGGTTAAGGGTGTTTTGGGAGTGAGCGGGTCTCTGTGCAATGGCAACGATTTGCGAGAGAGAGAAGGAGGGTATTCTGTAGTAGTTAATGAACGGACGAATTCCAAGAGCTACTGAATTGGTAAGTATTGTCATTATAGCTTCTACTTTTGCGTCTAATGAACTGTTGTTTAAGCCGTTGTCCTACAACGCGGTGCCACACTCGCGATGGAAATTTTCAACTGAATGTTATTAATGGAAATAGTTACTTTTCCAGAGTGATAATACTATTTTTCTGTTATCACTTGTTAATCATCCTAATTGGGGTAAACGTGTACATAGAACGAGCATCTAATCGTTTTCTTTTCCTCGTAAATTATTAACAATAATAATTTTCAACCGAATTTAGCAAACGTAAACGTTATTTATTTATTTTCCATATCAATGATGCATTATTTGTCTATTATCAATCCTTAAGTTTTAGAGTAAACATAGATACAGAATAATCATAAAATTTTTTTTTCCCCATTAAATTATTAACGATAAAGTAGTTTTAACAAGCACAGTTGTGAAAGAAGTCGCAAGACAAGTGGTTAAGAATGAAGTAGTTTCATGAAATACACGTGTCAATCATAGGGCAAGAGGTTAAATCTTGTTTAAGTTTGAGTTTCTATTTTTTACCGAGGCTCTATATACGATTTCCCTGAAAATAATCCGTACAATGGGATCATGTGACTGCGTAGTTCGCGACTGATAGGGGCCCGGTAATCGCCCGGTTTTCCCGCGATCAAAGCCGGCTTTCTTCGATCTACCCCACTTTCGAGAATCACAGGGCTTAAACGGGAGCGGAGGAACTCCGATCGTACGATGCGGATTAGATACGTGAATTTTTCATATATTTTATGTACTCGAAATAATGTGGAGGATACATTCATGTGTACAATACGATAAGACGCATGCTTTAATATTTTCCCGAGCGATTTTTCCAACAAAGCAGTTGTGCTGGTATTTTAAAACAGGAATTTAATTAATTAGATTAGTAACGGGGTAGAATGAATTGATGTATGTCGGTTTTTATACAAGTTTAATGGAAAATAGTTCTTACTATACCATTTAACGTATTTTTTTCATTGATTATTTGTGCTGTGAAGAGGTTGAGAATAACCCTGAAATTTGGGGGTGAGAAACGTTTTAGAGGGTTATCTTAAAACTGTTGCAAAAATATTTAAAATGATAATTCAGTCTCGGTTTAATGAAGAATCTTTGATTAAGCAACAGTATGTTTTCATTAATTCAATTGCGCAAATTATAATATATTTTCTTAAGTACTTTGTAAATGTGATTATTCTTAGAATGTATCTAATGTAAGAGGTTTCAAATTTTATTCCATTAATTCTTTGTTTCGCGTGTCATAAAGAAAAGACAATAGAGTACGGCCACAAACTCCGGGTAAAATAATCAATAGTAATTTACATTGTTATGTGATTGGAACCTGAACTTTCGCAGTTCACGTTCAACTTTCAACCCCACGTAACGTCGAGAGGCAACGTTAGTGATGCAAGATGATCATTTAAAGGGCCAGCCACCCAATACGCCACTGTATGGTCAAACGATCAAGTGGCAATCGCTGTACGCGCCAGACTGCCGTATAAACCCGCGGCGAACAAACATTCGATCGATCGAATGAATAATTCGACGCGCGGCCTCCCATCCGGTATTAAGTGTCGCTTCGTCACTCGAAGTTGCACGTTATTCCGTCAATTCATCTCACACGGGCACACGATTTCTCAAACGGACAGCTCCTATTAAATGAAAGGCCTTTCGCGACAAACTCTATTTTGTTGGGAACATTGATCATACCATTTCGAAATGAAAAACGTTGTCGGAACATTATTTCCTTTGTGTTCGTTACGATATTATTAGTATTTGAAGATTAATCAGAGAAAATTCATTGTAAAAATGAGCAACTTCGAAATAGAAAACGTCATCGAAACGTTATTTCTCTTGTAATGTTACAATGTTCTCAATATTTGAAGGTTAATTGAAAAAGTTTCATGATAACAATGCGTAGGTGAATATTTTGGCCGAAATAAATTGGATATAAATTACTTGATCAATTATTTAGTCATGAAAATTGCAGGTATATGCTACGGAAATTTTTGTCTCTGAATCTCTATAACAAAGGCAAATAATATTTCGTATACAGGTAGTCTTTTAACTTTTCAATTGTACGAAAACTGCGTAATTTCGTGTGCAACAAAGATCTCGTACTTCGCTTAGCCTTGAAAATATTGAAATTCTAAGCTAGGAAGCCTAAGCCCATTGTTAGTTATAGTTGACAAAGTTCCGAGGAAATAAGTAAGAAAGTGACTATTGCACCGCGTTGTATATTCACGTCTGCTAGTTTAATGACTTCCCATTACGCAATCGAGCTCCAAAGAAATGGATATGACGCAATCTTCGACAGTAATTACGTTCTTGTTATCATATAAATCATGGGAAATGTGCGCAAAAAATCTATTATTCACAACACTTGTAAATATTTCAAGTTCACACAGGCAACTATAGGAAAATGGTAAAATTACAATTCCTAATCTCCATTTATCCAAAACGATTAACAGTAAACGTACCGTGACCGATCAAATGACCAATGGTAAAATCTGATTCTAAAACGTTCGTTTAACTTCACATGAATTTCGATATCGCCCGAACTGTCAGTATCCCAATGTTTGTCTTTCCTTCCGTTTCTGTTTCCAATAAGAATAGTTCATGCTCCAACTCGTTTACCTTTATTTTATCACCATCTATTCCAGTGGTCACTATAGGAATAGCTACGCACAATCTGTCGTTACATTCAATGTCAAGAAAGTAATTAAACATCTCTGAAGTGATACACGAGCAAGTCGACGCAATAAAACTAACTCCCAGTAAACCCACTAAAAGTGGAAATAAACGAAGCAAATTATATTTCTACCGTACTTCCTTCCACGATAAAGACTTAAATTTCTGAACAGTAGTTACACAACACGAGCAGCGAGTGATAATAATCAAACCGAAATATTCCGCAGTCCGCCTCAAAAAGCAAAGACGAAAGTTCGCGTTAATGGCCTGGAGATCCGGTCGTTAAATATTTATAAGAGTTTTCATTAACGCCGAGCGTCCACGGCGAACGAAAAGCCGTCGTTCTCGTTTCGTCTCAATTACTCCGGATTGCGCAATAGGTAAACTCATTGATAAATACGTTCCGCCGGCGGCACCTTCGCTGATTATAACGGCAAGGGATATAGACGTAGCTTAAAAGCCGGGAGACACGGTCAATTTCGTTCCAGAAAACCGAGCCAATTTCCTCTCCCTTAGGAGCTATGCTAAATGGATCGATCGGCTTGTAAAGAACCGCTAAACACGCCAGTCCGTAATAAAAGAGGCGAGCACACGGTCGGTTAAGCCGCGGACGGGACACGCCGCGTATCGATTTCGAAGTTGCTTAGTTCGCGCTCGAGCCCGATACTTTCCTTTATCGTGTCTTCTTTCCGACCGTTCCCACAGGTGTTGACAATAACACGTTGAATTTGACTTCGATCGGAACGGGGCGCCGAGATATTCGCAATCGAGCATGAATATTAATAAAGCCTTGGAACTGGCAGTCCTTGGAAATGAACCTCACCGTTGCGCATGTAAAATTCCGTATTGTTTCTCCTTTCTGGATCGTTTTCATTTGCTTTCATCGGTGTCTATCTTTCATGAGCAATTTAGACGATTGAGCGTTTAACAACGCTCACGACTATGCGATCGTGAATTAAAGAAAATATAATAAGCATAGATATTGCTGAACTCGTTTGAACTTAAATGGAACTTTCTTCTTCTGTTATTAATAATTATACTTTATAGTAAATACAGATGTAGAGTATATTCAGGATTTTTCTTGTTTTTCAATGAATTATTAATGAGGAAGTAGTGGACTGATCATAGTTGGGAAGTATATCGTAGGGCAAGGAGTTAATAATATTAATAATGTTCATTCTGTACTTCTTAACTGTGCACGTGAATTTTCTTGTTCTCCTTTCAGTTTCGTTTTGTTTGCGTTCATCTGCATTCATTTCTCAATTGTGTATATTGAGACGTATGATAATATTAATAATGGTGATGTTCATTTTGTATTCATTAAATGAGATAGTGGTTTAATTACATTTAAACTGAAATTGAAGACAACGAGTGGGGAGATAAGGAATTTAATGAAAACGAGTAATTGCAGTCACTTCTGCTTTCCTTTGGTTGCACGTGGAAATTTAGTTATCTCTGGTTTGCACTGTGACGTGCTGATAAGTAGTGTCACGAGTAATCTTCCGGTATCAAACTATCAATGTAGCCAAGTGAACTCCCGATATCTGCGCGAATTCTTATTTTCGTAAACACACGTTAGGAAGGTGCAATTAAGCAGGATGTCATTTACTACAGTAATGATTTCGATAAATAAGGAACAATGTTATAAGTTCCATTGGATATTATGTTTTACTACTTTCGGTAAGCTTAACAGTAGAAATTTAACTTGGTCGCATCATAAATTGTAGTCTTACCTTGTCTAGATTGATCTTAGTGGCGGGGAACCATTTGCCAACGAAAACGACGACTGGTCGGCCCTGACGGTCGACGCCGCTTTGGTAGAGGCAACCGATCCCGGAAACTTCAGACAGATCCTCTGTCTTCGCCCTTCTGAGGAGCCTTTCGTATCTGGAACACACAAATCAAGCGCACATTAACAAAATCCATTTTCAAGAAGACAATTATCAATCGAGAACCATAATTTTTCAAATATATGCAACACTTTTTGTGACAAAAGTGTAAAGTTCGCTTAAAGCAATATTTACAGCACATAAATATGAAATTCTTCACAGAGAAAATACGAACTTTATTTGAGCAAAAATATAAATCTTTTCAGATTGGCGAATGTAAATACTGTGAACAATACACATTAAGGAACTACACTTTTAAAAGATGAGTTTCAAATTCTGGAAGTCGCAGTCTTTCACAGTAAAAGCACGAACGTTCTTCAACTAAAAATATCTACTTTTTCACCGGAAATGTAAGTATTGTGAATATTTTTTCGTATACCTGGCCACTGAAGTGATATAGGATAGAGTGAGTCGGACTAACAGAGAATACGTTTGGTAAAAGACACAGAATAACCGAAGGTTTTTAAAAATTGCGCGTTGAATTTGTTTGCACAGTATTCTCCGTTAAGCACGTAATACCTTGGAGTGAAACGGGATCGTGCAAAGTCAGACAAAAGGAAGTTTCGGTGTTCGTACCAAAAAATGTAAAAATTTGATTGAAAAAGGAAAATATAAATAAATCTGGAATGTAATGTATAAAAATATTAATTATTACAAATTAGCAATTTCATTTATCAGGCATCTGTGACACGAGTAGTAGGAAGACCAATATCGAATGGAATCGTTCGAGTCAGAGCATATGATGGAACGTGTGCTTTTTACGACTCTTATCGAATGATGTAAGAGAATTAAGCATACAATGTTTCAAGAGAAGGTCTCGCCGGCGAATTATATGGCTTCATTAATTTCGTTCTGAAAAATGCGCGTAGAACGCGTTAAAGTAGATTCGGTTTGTTCGAGTCAAACAGAACGAAGGTTATATCATTTCGAATTTGCGTGAAATGATAGGGGACAGCAAGATACAACATATTTTAAAGATAACATCCTATTAGCCTAGCTAATTAGATTCTTGCACATAGTGGCGCAGTTTGTGAAAGTAGAACGGGATTGTTTGTGTCGTACAAAGCAAAGGTTACAACGTAACCTTTAATCAAATGATAGAGGATTCGATTGTTGCAAATGATAGTGCTGTTTATCGAAGTAGAATAGGACCTTTCAAGTCAAACACGAATGGGGTACCAACTTCAAATTGATCGAAAAATACAGAAAAATCAATTGTAACATCTGTAGCAGGATATTCCACTAATTTGCCTTCGTCAATTTATATGAACAATAATATACAGTTGTTATTGTATAGTCAGACAAGGTGTGTTAATTTGAAACAGCTACTGAGAAAAGAATTGAACCGATTGTAAAAACTTTAAGATTTGAAACTAATATCTTAAGTCGAATGTAACAAGCTGGACAAGCTCGAATCAAACACGAGAAACAAACCGTGCTATGATTTCATTAGTAATCATTTCTTTTATCCAAATAATTATTCAAAATAAGAAATTAATATTTAAATACTCATAATTCCGAAATAATATTCGCCTTGGTTTAATATAAACAGAGTAATCGCATTTATTACATCTAACTTAAACGATGCTGAATCAAAGTATCCTGATCGACGCACGTAGGATACAAAGTGCGTCAATAATGTTTCCAATCCTTCTCTCCACTTAAAGTTAAAACGAAATCGCGTGATTATCCGGAATAAATCGTGACACTGAAGTTTGCGTTAGAAGGAAGACGCTTCTAGAATTTGCAATCGTGATTGGTTTAGTTTCATTTTATAATCTCTCGGTATAGTTTATCCTCCGCGGTGTCTCTTAAAGCAACACCAAGGATCATGCTTTTTTCTTGCAAACATAAATTGGAGCTTCGTTTGTGTAAGGTGTTAGCAGTTGAAAATTAATGGTTCGATTTCCAGTCGCAAAATTCAAATACATTTTACGCACGCTTAGAAACACAGAAGAATATTTTCCTTGAGTGTCTCGCTAAGATCATCTCGCTATCGTTAACACGTTCCTCACTTCTGCAAACAATACTCTGCACAGTTATCTTTAGAAATTTGTCATCTATCCTAGTTTATAATCAAACGGACGGAGCATTTGTTTTAAAGGATGAAAAAGGGCATTTGAAATTGTATTTGCACGGAGAACGATGTCCAGACGCGAAAGAAAAATTCTTCGATCCTTCCATCGCCGAAAACTTTTGAGACCTTAGGTCAGCCGGTCGCTAAATATAAAAAAGTGACCAGCTCCTTAGGAATTCCCAAGCTACCTTGTTGCAAACAGCACTCCACTGCCATCACTGTTGTATACAGGGTGAGTCGTTCAATCGTACTACCGACATTTATTTATTGCGTAAGAAAATGTTCGAGGCAAAAGTTACTTGGCAACAAAATCTCAAACTAGGGTCGACGACAATGGTACGATTAAGACCAAGTAACTTCCATTCGACACACTTTTTACCTGATAAATGGTTTGCAAATAGATTCAGGTGGCACGATTGAATGACTCACCCTGTATATAAGCGTACACCCCTTGGAGTCAACTTCTCGTCCACCGTCGAGAACGCAACGTTGCCAGTTAAATAATAAAAAGTCAAACGCGTAATACTCGCGCGATTTCTCGTCCGAATCCGAATTTTCGTTCGTGTTATCTGTTTCTGCGACATCTTGTATAACGTCCAGACAAAAAGTTGCATTCCCCGCAGAGGACACTCGAGAAAACCGTTGATTATCTAATCGTTCCATTCGACAGAACAAACGATATACTATCAATCACGGGGAAGTACTAATTAAAAGGAAAAAAATCGTGTCGCGCCGCGAATATCGATGCAATCACGCAGCGTGACGTGCGGCGCGCGCGATTTCGCGCAAACATGAAATTTCGGTACAAACGTCCGCCGCGATGCGATGTTTCCCAATCGACGATTCCCCTTCTTTCTCCTCCGCGCGCCAACAATCGCACGACAGAGGACGGAAACATTCGACCAAACGTCCACGCGCCGATGAATATTCAACCCTTCTGAAATCAATGAGATCGATTCACGTGCACGCCACAATTCCGCGCAGCTGGGATTCGAGCTACTGTTATTAAACCTTAAGTGCTAGTCGGTTAGTTGTAATAAAACTGCGTCCACGGTATGGACAGATTGAAGCTAAAGCAAAGCATCTTTGGCATGGCGTTAGTGAATTATTAAGGGGCACGCAAGCCTGGAGAATTATGGATAAAGATCAACGTTCGAAAAGTTATAGAGAGTGTTAGTCGGTCTCTCAGACAGATTGCGAATTATAAATGAATGGATTGAATGCACAAAAGAAAGAAATGTTTATGAGCATTAATAAAAGAACTGCGCCCATCGAAACAGTGGCAGCAATGAGAAATTTCGTTTTTATATAAAGACAAGATATGCAATATTGCTAATTACCACAACATTTAGAAAAATAGTAAATTTGATTTGGACCGATTATCTATTTAGAATCTATTTCATAACGATGTGATATCTGAGTTTTTGTATGTATGGCGATGTAAGTTGATCTCACTGAAAATTGAAATTCAGTTTTGTGAAAATTAGCTGGTACGCAATGTGTTAAATATCCGGAATGATTTGAAAAATCAGTTCTACTCGAATATTGTAATCAATACACGACGAAACTGAAAAGAAATGTATTGTCACGATTTGCATAAAGATTATTGATCGTATTAATACTAAAACTATGGGACAGGTCAAGTTGACTCGTTTCAGAGCTTTTATTTTACAAGTATTCAAATTATGAAGGCGCGTTTGCGAGAGATTCTTAATTAGATTTGTGTATTTCCATAGATACAAGACTAGACGACTCTTCGAATCTCGAGACATGTATTGTTCTAATTTTCATAGAAAATTCGGAGTCACTCTAATTGCTCGGTAGTTTTAGTGTCAATCCGTTCTGGGCACGGTCCCGCAAGACTGATCGTTGAAAAAATGTTTTTCCCTTGTTATAAACAAGTATTCGACGGGTATCGACTTCCCGTTGCATTTTTAACTTTTCTGCGTGCGCGCGAACTTCCCGCAAGGCCGGCAACACTAACCGCGCGTGAGTTTATTTATTTTCCCATCGAGCTATCACCAGTCCCGCTAACTCGTTTTCGTCGTTCGGGACCGTGATTCATAAGCATTGCGTCGCAATAATGAAAATGTCAATAATTCCACGTTTAGGGGAACGAGCGTTGATAAAAATACGTTACAAAGTTGTAAATAGCGTGTCGTAGAATGAATAGCACGGTGATTATTCGAAAACCAATTATTTCTGCAGTTCGTATTTTTACAATGAATTTTGATAAGGAATTTTGTAAGGTTGTTAATTCAGATATGAAGGTTTTTATTAGTCTAGTTCGTTTCGATTATTGCGAGCTTTACTTCTTACTGTTGCATGTAAATTCTAATCGATACGTTGGTTAGGAAAACAGAAAGTTATCAAGTACTTTACATCTACGTAGTATAAGTATAAAGTAAGTAATAATAATATAATGTATTTTATTATTATTATGTAACATAAGTATAATACAAGGATAATAAAGTAATGGCACTATAAATATTGTAACTAGTAATCTGTTTCTCCATAAAGAAAATTTGTACATGAAATAAATTTCATCACAATTTGCAATAAAATTTTGTAATGAATTTTATAATAACATTGTGCAACAGTGATTATATATTTTCTTCGATTTCGTTTTACTCAATGGCATACTCAATGCGTGGATATATACCCAGGTTACGTTTTTATCGTCACATTATATGTAAATTTGATTCACTTTTTTGTTCAGTAGTCTATTATATCCAAAGATAAATACAACTCTTCGATAACATTATTATTTTCACCGAGTCAGTTTTTCCCCAATCAATTAACCGTCTACGTATCAACAATTTAAATGAGCTCTGTCGTATTTTCCTTCTCGAATGAAATGCTTATTGATATTCGCGGCGGTCTCCTTCTACACATGTACTCTGTGTATACTTCGTTTCATT